CCCCGCGGAAAGGCCCGGCGGCGGGGAGCGCTGCCGGGGGACGTGGTGGGACCCGGGAGGAGGTGGCAGGACGGGGACGGGCCCCCTCGGCGGGGAGGAGGAGGGGGTAGATACGCGGCTCGTTTCCCGCATTTAGTTGTTTTTTACCGTTTTTTTTTCCACCGCGGCGAAGCGGCGCCGAGCGCGCTATAGAGAGGGCAGCGCTGCTAAAAAGCCCCAAACGTGAGCGGCCAGAGGGGTTTTTTTTTTCCCCCTCCCTTCTCTCCTCCCGCTGCTCCGTCAAGGTTACCAACGGAGGAAAGATTAACTCCTTTCCCCCCCTCATCCCCGCACAAAAAGAACTCCATCTGCTGCGCCCAGAAGTTAAAAGAATTCTTTTGCAGCCGCTTGTCCAGAGGATGAGCTAGTGCCCCCCCCCCCCCCCAAACCCGGGACGTGGGGGACCCAAAGCCGAGCCTGTGTGAGCCAGGGCAGAAAGACGCCGAGTTTGCCCCAGCCACCCCAGGCAGCCCCGGAGCCTCCCTTTAACGCGCAGCGCTGAGCCGTGGGGAAAGCAAATCCTCTCCGGCTCGTCCTTCCCTGCATTGATCAGCTTTCTACCGAGGTTTCCCCCTCCTCAACCTTCCCTTGGAAATTTAGCAACGCTTTAGTTTGGAAGTAATACACTTACAGCCTAAGTGATATTGTTCTTTCCCCTATATATATGTATATATTTTTATCTTTATTTCCTCCGGGAATGAGGGTTGGCGCTACCGTTAGCCTTGTAAAGAAACGCCGGTTGTCTGCTTTTACATAAACATTCACGTTTCCAAATAAACTTTATAAGGATTTCAATTGGAAAGTGAAGCAGTCGGCACTGCGAAGCAGTGGGGCGAAGACGCTGCACTTGAAATTTTAAATGTGAACTAATCCAACTTAGCTATTTTTTTTCTCCCTTTTCTGGTCTGATAGTTTGCAATCTGGAGTTCCATACTTTAAAAAAAATAATATTTAGTGCCATAGCCCACGGTTAAAATAGTGAAAAATTAGTCTCGTTTCAGAAATTATTTATTTATAGAACGAACATGATTAAAACATAAAAAACACACAAACTGCAGCTGCAACAAAAAAACCTCACCGTGATTTACGATTATTAAATCTTTGATTGCCATGTTAATGTTTCTTTTTCTACCTTTCATTTGCATTTTAATCTATCGAATCTTTACAATTTTGCTGCCTCCTACTCGAATGATTGATTACACATCTGAAAGAGAAAAAAAAAAATACTAAGCTTTCTAGGCGAGCTTCTATTTTTCCTCCCCCCTTCCCTTTGCTGGTTAGCTTTCTGAAACCTTCCTCAACAATGTTAATGCAAGCAGGACAATTTAATTATGCTCTTTTAAATGTCAAAGGTATAAATAAAAATGCCCCCCCCTCCTCTCCTTTACCCCTCGCCCCAAATGGGAATATTTTTCCAAGCCGCTTGTTTTAAAAGCAAGAAGGAATCATCCTGGTAAAATACAATTAAAAGAAACATACGTGCAGCATCCTGACTGTTAATAAATATTATTGCGTGGATATTTACCTATGGAAAAGGGAAAAATAAAAACCAAAACAGAGAGGCAGGGAGCGGAGGTGAGGGAGGGTTCCCTGGCGCAGCGGCAGCGCTTCCCTTCGTTGCTGAGCCTCAGCTTTGGGGCAGTTCCCCCCCCCCCCCCAAAAAGGGGGGGGCTGTCAGGGTGCAGCCCTCGAGAACAGAGGAGCACCCCCGTGGGTTTCCCCTTCCCCCGCACCCAACGGGCTGGGGTGAGGGGTAGAAAG